CATGCTTCCCATTACTGAACTTGCACTCCAAGTATTCGGTTTCGACCTACTCAACTTGAAACCTTTAGACTCCAGCGTCTGTCTCCAAACATCCAACCTAGCGTTAACACCACCTCGCGTCTCGTCAATCAGTACTATGTCATCAGCAAATAGCATAAACAATGGCACCCCTCTTGTATGTGTCAGGTCAGCATATCCAATGCTAGGGCAAACAAAAACGGGCTAAGGACCGATCCCTGTTGCAACCCCATCTCCACTGGAAAATGTTCCGAGTCTCCACATGCAGTCTTCACCCAAGTCTTAACTCCCTTGCACATGAGTCTCCACATGCAGTCCTCGTCCAAGTCTTAACTCCCTCGTACATGTCCTTAATCTCCCTAATATACGCTATCGGGACACTGCTAACCTCCCATCATCTCTATAGCACCTCCCTCGGGACTTTGTCATAAGCCTTCTCAAGGCCAGTGAACATCATGTTGAAGTCTTTTTTCCTCTCCATATACTGCTCCACCAATCGTCTCACAAGGAATTCTAGTATTTTGTAAACTTTAATTAAAAATATTTATTTATACAAATATAATGACACTATAATGTATATGTTGTATGTAATTATTTATGTACATTTTATTTAGAAAATATTCCTGGTACAAAATAGGTAAAAAAAAATACCTAAGATATATGTCAATATACATTAATGTTATAAAATAAAGACTGTAAAGTAAAGACAAGTATAGAGAGAAACTGATATATTATTCGAATTCAAACTGATGTACATAATGAACTGAAATCTCTTCAATTTATAAAAGAAAGGAAGCTGCTCTGTAAGCTGCTACTACAAGTTGTTGTGTAAGCTGCTACTACAAGCTGCAGTGTAAGCTACTATAAGCTGCTGTGTAAGCTGCTACTACAAGCTGCTGTGTAAGCTGCTGCTGTACCATATATGGATAATCTTCTACTGAGAGCAATATTTATCCATAACGGAGTACTGAATGAATAAGCTTATTATATCCGTTATGGATAATCTTCTACCGGGGGTAATGTTTATCCATAACCGGATACTGAAAAGATAAGCTTATTATACCCGGTATGGATAATCTTCTACCGGGGGTAATGTTTATCCATAACCGGATACTGAAAAGATAAGCTTATTATACCCGGTATGGATAAACTTCTACTGGGGGTAATGTTTATCCATAACCGGGTACCGAAGTGATAAGCTTCTTCAGGAAGCTTATTTCCAATATAGTACTAAATAGATAAACATATTTACTGTGGAGTCCCATATGGATAAGCTTCTTCTGGAAGCTTATTTACAACGGAGTACTAAATGAACATCCATAATATAATATATTTATAACACTCCCCCTTGGATGTTCATTAAAAGATAATGTGCCTCATCAAAACCTTACTAGGAAAAACCACGTGGGAAAAAATCCTAGTGAAGGAAAAAGAGTACACATATTTAGTAATACGCATTGCCGGTTGCCTCATTAAAAACCTTATAAGGAAAACACTGTGGGAAAAACCTTAGTAAGGGAAAAAGAGTACAACGCGCATTTTACTCCCCCTGAAGAAAACCTTATTTCAAATATTTGAATCTCCGCATTCCAATCTTGTACACCATATTCTCAAAAATTGATGTTGGTAAAGACAATCTGCTGGATTGTCACTTGAACTAATTTGATGCACATCATTGTCACAATTTTCCTGAAGATCATGTATGTAGAATAATTCTGGTGAAATGTTCTTCCTTCTATCTCCTTTTATAAATCCTCCCTTTAATAGTGCTATGCATGCAACATTGTCTCCGTATAATATTGTGGGTCTTTTATCACATTCCAACCCACATGTTTCTCGAATGAATCACTGATCTCAATCATATGCATTCCCTGCTTGCCGGTTTGAAATTGAGCTTTACGGGTATCGAATAAATAACCTTCATCTGCATTATCAATACGATCTGCACCACTTTTGTTAGAATTAACAAGATAAATAAGTGCACCATCTACACTAAGATAGAGTATTTCAGGACCAATGAGCTCCTCATCCTCTTCTAGAGGTTGGAACAGATCCTTATTCACTTCAAGTGATTGAATATTCATTGGTGTACTTAATG